TTATTTATCTTTCAGGTTCACAAAATTCAGTGCCGCCATACTATTTCCTCATTAGCAAATATCTAGCAATACTTTAACACTTAAATAAACTTACCTAGCCAGACATACACAAATCTGTCTACCAACTTCCTCCTCTAACTCAAGAATACCTTGGGAAAAGTATTTAAGTTTTAGAAAACAAATTCAAGATTTATTATCAAAAATGTGAAGGAAATTCACAATGCAAACATAAAAAAATTCCTACTTGAGAATTTTCTGGTTCACATCTATAGCTCTGTGCCTAATACTGTGTCTGGCACACAGTACACACTCAGTAGATGCGTACTGAATTGAACCAAAAAAGGCAAGACACATGCTTCTTACACTGTGGAATAGCAGTTAGGTTGATGTCATGTCCAGCAATTGACCAAGACAAGAGTGTAGGATATAGGAAAAAGAAAAGTCATGTCAGATTAGATGGGCCCAAGAGGAAAGTCCAGAAGTTACAAAACAAAAAAAGAAAACTAATAAAATATTCAAAATCGCCACATGTTCATGCAGTAGTGAGATAAACCATCTAGAGAGGCCTATACTGATCAGCCCTCTCATATAAACTCCTAGGAGATGGGGACAGTACTGTATGTAAGGATTCTGTAGTGCTTAACACTAGCACATTACAGATAGCTAACAGTTGTTGGCAACCAAGTAACAACTCAAATGTTCCAAAGAAAATTTCTCCTTGAATTGAAAAATACGTTTCAGAAATATAACCAGATCACATGAGGCTGTGTTTCAAAAGGTGGTCCACAAACCACATCCATCAGAATCACTTGAGGCATTACTAAAACGCACGTTTCCAAATCCCACACAAGGCCTGCAAAATCAGAATGGGGACGGGCACAAGGGAAGGGAAGCACTAAGAATCTGCATTTCTAACAAGATCTTGGGGGATGCACACAAAAGTTTAAGGCCTTTGATATAAAATATCTATAATTATATGTGCTAGTAAGGGAAAGAGCTTCTTTTCTACTCCTGACTTTCCATTCTTTCCACTGTTTCCTTATTCCCTAAAGATCTGTGTTCCTATACTCTTACCCTCACTAATTAGCTATTTTGCTAGTTCTAAGACATTATTTGGAAGATTCCTTCCCATTCTCTTGTGTAGAGCCCACCCCAAACTAAAACACAACAGCTTTTCCTGTATTAGAAATAATCTACTATGCTGTGTATATAAAATCAATTCTGATTTAAACAAATTCCCAATCAATTTGGTAACCAATGAATGATGTCATTTTTAATTCAAGTCTCTTTGGATCTAGAAATTCAACATTATTAAACAATATTACTTAAAGAAGATAAACCATATCTAATCTCTACTCTCTGACAATACCTTGCCTACTTGAGTAGTTTCTTTCAAGATCATGTTGTAAGAGTCGACCAGGGAATGATGGCGTTTCTTTATTTAGCTTGAATTCAACCTAAAAAACATTATTTAAGAAAAAAAATTTTTTGGAGAAAGCAATGAATGTAATTATAAAATAACGTAAAATAACCAATATATGTTACAACATAGATGAACCTTGAAAACATCATGCTAAGCGAAGAAAGCCAGGCACAAAATGTTACGTTATATGATTCCATTTATGAAATACTGAGAATAGAAAAATCTATAGAGACAGAAGGCAGATTTGTGGCTTCCAAGAGGATTGGGAAGGCGGAATGGGGAGAGACTGCTTAATGGTATAGGGACTCCCTTTTGGGTGATAAAAACTGAAACTAGAGAGTGGTGATGGTTGCACAACATTGTGAATGTATTTAATACCACTGATTTGTACAATTTAAAATGGTTAAAGCGGTAAATTTTATGTGATGTGTATTTTACCACACACACACACAAATGAGTCAGTCTCATGAGGTCAGATGAAACCAGGCTCCAGTCTGAGCCACTTGCAATTCCTCCATACTCTCACCACAATTCAGTGATTACAAGAATCATTTTCTCAAAAGGAAAAGCAAAAAACATACAATAGAAACTAAATTCTGTTAAAAAATATCACAATGTTCTTATCATTAGAACTCCTTTAACAGTCCAATTATAACATAATAAAATTATATATCTAAACCTTCTAAGAAGGGTTTTCTCTAAATTTCTTTTAAATTATCTGATAGGAGGACTGAGAAAAACAAAAACAAAACAACCTCTCATGATTAGCTACCAAAACCCCTAAATACATATCATAAAAGAATTATGATGTTTCTCATGCTACTATAAAAATTATAATAGCATTTACATTATATCCTTATGCATTATATGAGCTAAGGTATTTTCTCAGAATACATGTCCACACAAGAGAAAATGAATGGTTTGGAAAGAATCTGGATGAGGCACATAGTTCCTAGAAACATACTATGTATAATAGTGGAATAGGATTTGTCCAATGAAATCAGTCAGCAAAGCTTTGGAAGGAATCCATTAGGTCCAATTACAATAAAGAATATTTTCAATTAATCTAGCTAACTACTATTTATTCAAGATAATCAAATGGCCTATTTTCCAAGTGTTTATTTCCAGATACATAATGTAATCCACAGCTGCCTCCTTGACCAATGGCGTCCTTCCATCCACCTTCCTCACGCCCCTCCTTAGCCTTCTCAGGTTTTTATCTGTAAATTCCACCCTTCACTTTAGAGTTCCTTCAGTGGCACCTATTTAACAACTTTTTAGGAAAAGCCTGAGTTGTGCCAGTTGGAGTGTCCAAATTGGTCAAAGAAGGAAAATTTGTGTTGTGTCTTGAAACACGGTTGTGTGGGAGGTGGGTGAGTATATCTGAGAGCTGAGGTTGGGGCTGGGGGGGGAGAACATGAGTATCTCAGAGATCAAATCAAAAGCCAGAAGTTATGGAAATGCCAGGGAGAATATGGGCAAACTGGGGAAAAGAACCTCATGTTCAAATCTTAACTTCTAAATAGCATTCAGCCTAATATATTTCCACTGCTAATTAGTTTTTTTCTGGAATTTTAGATATGTGCCCCCAAATTATCACATTTTATCTATTATAAGATTCCATCAGTAGTAAGACATGCCATCATTTTACCCACTACTAAGATGGAAAAACTTTCCCAATTAAACAATGATGTGCCATCAGTTTTAAGAAGGGTCCTGATTTAAGAAATGTTTAGATGTCAAAAAAACCCCACCTTACCTCTTGTAATGGATGAAATAAGATTCGGTTTTTAAAAGAAGTGGGTTTTTATTTTTGGCTTTGTTTTGTTTGATTTTTTAAATTGATGTTTAGTTGATTTACAATATTATATTAGTTTCAAGTGTACGACATTGATATTCAGTGCTTTTACAGATTATACTCCATTAAAAGTTATAACAAAACAGTGGTTATAGTTCCCTGAGGTATACAATATATCCTTCTTGCTTATCTATTTTATACATAGTAGTTTGTATCTCTTAATCCTATACCCCTAATTTGCCCCTCCCCCTTCCTTCTCTTCTTTGGTAACCACTAGTTGGTTTTGTGTACGCAGAAAATAAAAATTACCTTTACATTAGTGACCAAAGTAAATATACTTAAATTTTCCAATTTAGACTCTGCTCTTTAAATCATGCTATTTTGCAGAATATAAAACAATTTATATTCAATTTAAATACAAATCTGCTTAAATCTTACTTTGTGTTTTTCAGGAAGCGATGATGTTTGAATTACCAGATGAAGCCCACAGTTCACCTACAATGTAAAAATTAAACCGTAAAATATGCTCTTAACTTATACACACACACACCTCCCCAAAATAGTACACAAAGATATAACAAAAAATTAGAATAAAACAGAATGCTCGCTTTTTGCTTGCTTCTGGTAAATTATCATGTTCTGGGGACCTGTTGAAAACAATAAAATCACAACTAAGAATTAAAAGGTTTCACTGTGATTTATCTTCCAAAATGTCTGCAGCAATTTAACCCTCTACTTAGCACCTAAAGCTTTTGACACTTGCTATTTCAGGTCTAAGTAAATAGCTCAGTGAGACAGGTGAAGGAGGTGGCGGTGCCAGTTAATATTTTCTTAATTAAAAAAAAAAAAAAAAAAGGAATTGACCGGTTAAAGGAATTTAAATGAAGCTTAGCCTTTCACAGCAGACCAGCTCCACCTTCTGGGAAGCCCAGATCCTGGACAAGACTTTGAATACCCATCACACAATATTAAATACCCTCCAAGTGCCTTGGTCCAGTCCAGGAATCTCAAGCCTCGGTCAAACAATAGCTTGCGTAGATTCAGAGGTGCTGGTCCCAATAATACATCCCATCACCTAGGACAAAGACGCCAGTCAGAAAGGACGCTACTAATGGGAAGAAATAGTAGGAGGCCCAACCTACGTTGCTCGCAGCCCGGCCAGAAACAGAGCGGTATTTCCCGGGAATCATGGCAGGAGACAATCCAAGAAGATCAGTTAGATCTGCCTTATAAGTGACGCTTCAGCACAGATTCAGAGAGAGCGAAAGGGGTCATCTCCCAGGCAACCCGCTCAGGAGTTACCATGGAAACTACCATTTCCGGTCTGGTCCTCCACCAAATCACCGGCCGATGACCTCGTTAGAGCCTCTGGTTATATTTGGGGGGCCCAAAACGTCAGCACTTCCTAGTTCTATTTTCCTGGCCTCATAAAAACAGAGCGGGAGTGTGGAGAGGAGGATAAGACAGGGAAGAGGCCGGCCACCTCGGTAGCTATGACAACCACCACTTCCGGTCCGTCCCTCTTTACGGCTCACCTCAGCTGGGCACGCGCGAAATTTGTATCCCTCTGCCTGTGGCCACCTGCTCTCAGGGGAAGCTGCAGGGAGGAGGAGGGTCTCCGAGAGCCGGGTACTTTCCCAGGTGGGGCCGCAGTTCGGCACTTCCGCCGGCCGGAGGTGGGGGAAGGAGACAAGGCGTACGCTGAATCCGGCAGGTGAGTGCTCAGGGAGTGCGCGGCCGTGCGCAGGGCCCTCATCTCCCAGCCCGGAGTCAGCTGCCATGCCTGCCAGCTGCGTGGCCGCGCACTGCGGCAACACCACCACGTCCGGGAAGTCGCTGTTCCGCTTCCCCAAGGACCGGGCCGTGCGGCTGCTGTGGGACAGCTTCGTGCGGGGCCGCCGCGCCGACTGGTACGAGGGCAACGACAGGTCGGTCATCTGCTCCGACCACTTTGCTCCCGCCTGTTTTGACGTCTCTTCGGTTATCCAGGAGAACCTGCGCTTCTCCCAGCGCCTGAGGCTCGTGGCGGGCGCCGTGCCCACCCTGCACCGGGTGTCCTCCCCGGCACCTAAGGGGCAAGAAGAGGGAGACGGAGCGGGCGGCCCCGAGAAGGGAGGAGAGCCCCAGGCAGTCAGGCAGCCCGAGGCTGCCCCGGGGCCAGCCTGCTGTACACTTCTCCGGGCCAGGACGAGGGCTGCGGCCACCCAGGAGTCCCCCGAGGGTCGTTGGAGGACCCTGGGTCTGTGGCTAGGCTCCTCCACTTAGTGTCGTCTTGGGAAAGTCACCTCACCTCGAAGGTTTCTGTTTACCCAGTGATCTCCAAGAGCCTGTTTAGCATTAACAGTCTGGAATTATAGTTTCTTCTACCTCCTCTTCCCCAAAACACACTCATTCTCTCTCTGTCTCTGTCTCTCTCTCTTGTTCTTCAGATTATAGTCGCCTTCACTCTCCGCTCCTGAGTTTTTAAATAGAAAGTGTTTAATTTGAGCAAATCTCAAGGAATGGGGTGCTTGAAACTGTTTCTGCGTACAGTATTACATAAGCTTGAGGAATTATCAATTATACTGTCAAAATGGCGGGGGAAAGGGGATACGAGATGCTGATGAAGATGGGGCTTGCTGATAAACGATCCCTTCCCACTTCTAAACTACCTCTTGACTGACTGCTTTAAATTAAATCGTTCCAATGAGCTGAATTTTCCTATCTTGCTCTCTTCTGCCTACTTCCTCGATACTCATAAGCATCGATTACACTTATTTTGCATCTGGTCACTACTGCCTTCTTGCCCACTTCCCATCTTAAAGACTTCCCAGTCTTCTTTGAGTTAGTCAAACTTCAGCCGTATCACCATAACACAGATTAAATTATGACTCTTAATTGGACCTAAAATGTGTTCAGTTTTAGAGATAGGAAGAATTCACCAAGAAGTCAGGTGACTTGTAACTGACATTTTGGCTTTGAATATATAGAGGTATTCGTTGAATTTTAGAGCTGAAGGAAACCTAAGTGCTCATCTAGTTCAGACTCAATATTTATGCACAAGAAAGCCAGTCCAGGAGGTTAATTTCCTCAAGAGCCTTTTCTCTAGGTCTAATTGCCAGACAGAAACTCTTCTGCCATACCAACCTGCTTCCTACATTGGGGTGGATGTTTAAGACCCTTTAATGACAGCCTGCAATTGTTAGGATGAAGAATAATATTATTAACACAATCTACAAGTCTCTGCATGCTATTTGCCCCTGCCTGCCACACCAATCCTATCCCAGTCCACCGTCCTTGTTGCTCACTGTGTACCAGTCATGCTGATCTTTTCAATTTTTGAACATACTGTATTCTTTCCTACCAATAAGCCTTTTCTCCATTATTTCATGTACTGCCCTGGAATTATGCCCCTGCCATTTCCCATCATCATCAGTTGAGTCCTTTTACTTTAAAAATCTGCTCAAACATCCTTCCCTTTTGCTTCCCTAATTATATATTCTCGTTCTTCATACACTTCATTAGCACATATACTTCAGTTGCACTCATCACAGTTGTCATGAAATAATTATATAATTTGCTTAATGTTTGTCCTTACATTAGAATGTAAGCTTTGTGAGAGTAGGGATCTTATCTGATTTGTTCACTATTGTATTGCCAGCAACTAGACAATATTTTGCAAATTTAAGGAATTCAATAAATATTTGTGGAATGATGATGTGACTATGAGAACAGTTTTTTTAGTACAATAGAATTTCAGTTCTCTGCCAGTTTCCCTTCTCACCAAGCTGTATACCAGTCAAGACATCTGCCTCTTCCTTGAACCGTCTATCCACCATCATTGCCTAGCCAACCTTTACCCAAGCCCATATATGTACATCTCTATATAGATATATATAAATATGTAGTAAAAGAGGTAAATATTAAACATGTGCCACACACACCCTTACACCATTTTTCTTACTCATAATTCTACCATCTAATCAAAAATTGCGGGAAGAAAAGCCAGGCTAATAAAACAACCAAAGATCTTATAATACAACAAAGGCTAACTATTGAGAATATAGAATAGATACCAACTCTGTTTTCCAATTAGTAAATATATCCAGCCAACACTTCTAACAATCCATATTACATTAATATACATGCTGAGTTATTAGGAAACTATGTGTAGGTTTTAATAATAGTACTTTATATAAAGTTTAAAAAGTTTATTTAGACTTGATAGCAATAAATTTTTAGCTGGTCTGGATTGAGAACCCCAATAGCATCTCTAAGAAAGTTTACTTGTGCCACCTTTCACTCCTTCCCCCACTCACTGTTTTTCTTTCCGAGACCAACTGACTAAACAGCAAATTTCCAGGCACTCTACAATATTTATTGAGGAGCTGTTGCAAACACTCTTTTGGGTGTTTTGTGCTATATGTAGATAAATAGAAGTATGAATGTAGCCTATCTTTAGGGAGCTTGAGGAAAGATTAGGGGCCACCTCCAAGGAAAAAAGGGGGTTCTGATTAGCACCATACACTGATATTTTGCTTCATATAGCTAGAATTATTGTCTCTCCTTAACTGTTAATTTTGCATCCTTGTTTTTCTAACCCAACTATTTTTAAACTTTAATTCAAATATAGCAAAATACAGGAAAGTGCTTAAATCATTAAATTATCAGAAACTGAACATGTGTAACTACTATAGGTCAAAGAATTAGAACATTACTAGCAACTCAAGAGCCCAAGCCTAGCTTCTCCTCCATCCTCAAAGCAACCAAGTTTACTTTCTTTTGAATTTGATGTAAGTAGAATCGTACTGTAGGCATTTCTTGCATCTGGCTTTTTTGTTCAACATTATATTTGTAAGATTCATCCATATTGTTGCATATAGCAGTAATATGTTTGCATTACTATATAACAGTTTGTTGTACGAATATACCAAAAAATTTTTTTATCTCTTCTGTTGTTGGACATTTGGGTTGTTATCATTTTGGGGCTATTAGAAGTAATCCTGCTGTAAACATCCTTCTACATGTCTTTTTCATATGTGCACACGTTTCTGATGATATATACCTAGAATTTCTGGGACATAGTATTATATTAAACTTCAGTAAATAGTACCAGATAATTTTCTAAAATAGTTGTACTAATTTACACTACTAGAAGCATAATCAGAGTTTACGTTGTTTCACATTCTTGCCTACACTTGGATTGTTGGTCTTTCACATTGAGTCTTTTTGAAGGGTGTGTAATGGTGGTTTACTTTGCTTTCTCATTTCATAAATAACATTAGTAAGGGAACAACTTTTCAAATGTTAATTGAACATTTGGATAGCCTCTGGCGATATTCTGATTTTTCTGTTGGATTGTCTTTTTCTTGTTGATATAGAGTTCTTAATAAATTCTGTCTTCAAGTCCTTTGTCAGTTAAATATGCTTTAACTACCTTCTCTTCTCTCTTAATAGTGTCTTTTGATGTACTGAGCTTTTTGTCTTTATTTTTCCCTGTGTACTTAGTTCTTAATTTTCAATGTAGGCCAACCTAACCATCTTTTTCTGTATACTTAATGCTTAAAGCATGCTACTTTGCTGTTTTCCATAAACTTACTGTTTTTAGTCTTTACATTCATATCTACAACCCATTCAGAATTGATTTTTGTGTATGAAATGGAGTTTGTTTCATTTTTCCCTCATATAAATACCCGATTGACTCAGCATCTTTTACTGAAAAGGCTAGCATTTCCTCATTGTCCTGCAGTGTCAGCTTTGTCGTAAATCAAGTTTTCATATACACGTTAGTCTGTTTCAGCATTTTAAAATTCTGTTTCATTTATGTTTGCCTATCTTTACACCATTATCACAATACTTTACTATAGCTTATGTTAAGAATTAATATCCAATTGGCATATTTTTCTGACAAGTGCTTATTTTCAATAATGATTATGTTTTATGGTATTAGTTTAAATGTACTTGCTAAAATTCTTTATGAGACCTTAATCTAAACCAAAGTTGAGGTAATCAAGTAGTTTTACTTTATATGGAGGTTACTACTGAAATAAAAAATCACAGAGCAGAAGAAATAAAGCACATGGTCGTTGTACAGCCCCCCCCCCAAAATTAATATCCAGTTGATTAATTCCTCTTACCTTGTTCATCTTCATGGATATCTTGGTTATTTTGGGCTCTTTAAATTTCTATATATATTTTAGGATTGGTTCATCAATTTCCACAAATTATCTGTTGGGATTTTGACTGAGAGTGCATTGAATTTTTGAATGAATGTAGGGAGAAAAAGCATATTGACAATACTGATTCTTCCAATCCATGAACACAATGTATCCCTCCATTTATTTGGGTTTTTACATTTCTCTTAAAAACATTATGACATTCTATATAGAGGTCTTGCACATATTTCATTAGATTTGTTCCTATTTGATTTTGCTATTATAAATAGTATTATCTAAAATTTTATTTTCTATAAATGTATGTGGATAAATTGATTTTTGTTGACCTTGTAACCAGAAACCTTGTTAAACTCATTTATTAATTCCGGTAATTTGCAGATACTTTTGGATTTTCTACATGTATAAAAAATATATGCATATAGTTTTTGATGTTTATGCTTTTGTTTCTTATTCTTCCTATTGCACTAGCTAGAACCTCCAGTACAGCGGGGGAAACAGAAGAAGTGATGGGGGATCCTTTTCTCATTCCTATTTCAAAGGAAAACTCATTAATATTTCACCATTTGATATGATTTTTGCTATAGTTCTTTTGGTAGCTGCTCTTACCATAAAAAGAAATGTTCCCCTCTATTCCAAGTTTTGGCTACAGATTTAAATCATAAATGATGTTGAATTTTTTCAAATGCTTCTGAACCTATTAATGATCACATATTTTCCTTATTATTCTGTTAATGTCATGAACTTTATTGCCTGTTTTTGACATATAGAGTCAAACTTGCATAGCTGAAGCAAACCCAATTTGGCCAAGGTGTATTATTCCTTTAGGTATTGTTTAACTTGATTTGTTAACATTCTATTTAGAATTTTTGCATATGTGTTCATAGGCAAAATTGGTCTATACCTGTTCTTTCTTGAAATGCCTTTTTCATGTTTTGGTTTCAAGATTATGCTGACCAGTTTGGAGTTGTCCCCTCTTTCATCATTCTCTGGAAAAGTTTATATAAATTGGCATTATATGTCCACTAATAAATTTGATATTAATATTTTGTGG